TTAGCCCAAGGACATAATTCAAAAGACAATTTTAAAGCTACGTATGTAAAGATTTTTCTTGCAGGCTTAGCTATAATAACAAAAATTAGAAACAGCCCAATGTCCAACAGTAAAGAAGTAGGAAACTACGTTACGTAAACTCTGGAAGTTTACATAGCAATTAAAAACCATCGTGAAGGCTAGGCATAAAAAAAAAAAAAATGCTCACGATAGATTATTAAGAAAAATAAGCACACGGAAATGCTTTTATGATGGCAACCATAAAAAGATGTGTGTACACTCTTTTTAAAATATTGGAATGGAACATAAAGAAAAAAATTGAAGTTATTGGGCTAGCTTGTAAGATTTTGGATTTAAAAATTGCGTAACTTCCTCCGATGAGTTTGTGATATTTTTGTTAAAACACCTCAAATTAAGAGAAGGGAAAAAAGCGGTAGTTACTTGGAACATTTAGTTGGTAGCTCAGACCAAATGAGACTACACCGGCTAAACTGCTTTTTTCTTGTTTCCGTATTTTGAGGCAATTGTATACTGTGATTTTTGCCATCATCCACAAACTCTTATTTTTCTCCTGGTGCCTCTCATTAACGAGGTTTTTTTCTTTTTTAAGTTTATTACTTAACATTCTCCCACAGTGGATAGCCTTGTTTATTTTCTGTTTTTTCCTTAGGGTTTAAGCCAAGTCAGAAAAACGAACGTCTTTCTTCATTCGTTTATGTTTGAGATATAACATTATTTGAATCATATGAAATTATCTTGTTTGTAGGTCCAAAAACAAACAGCGGAAATTTTATATCAAAAATTTTAATAACAGCAGATTGTATCTTAGACCATCCTGGCAACTCATTTTGAAGCATTCTGTTCCCTCAAACTGTCCTGTCCCCTCCACCAGCTAAATTTTGGTTGGTTGGTGGGTGGGTGGGTTTAGATTTAAAAGCTAAATTCTCTAGAAGGGAAGTCCAAATAACACCATTCCAGTATATTCCTCGTAAACCATTAAAGTTAATATAACTACGTGGAAACATCTAGAATTCTTTCGTTCACCCACTTTAATTCATTTGACACGTATTTATTGTGTGTGGGCTCAACTCATGGCAGTGCGCTAAGCGCGAGGCACCTCTCTAAACAAGACTGAGGTGTCTTTTCCCTTGGGGAACATAGACTCCTTTTTGCAGGCTGGGAGGGATGGCTAAGAAAGGCGGTGACTCACCAGATCAGTTTGTTTCAACTAACGTGCCAAGTGACTGACTGGTTTGGATTCTTTTTTAAGCAGATTGACTGAATGTTTGCTCAAATTGATTCAATCTACCATCAGGTCATTGTTAATGAGAACTCGCCTTGGCCCGATAAGAGAAGAAGTCTATATTGAGCTGTCCCCGCTGTTTATTTAATCCATTAGCTGACCACAGGTACATATGGCTCAGGAGAAAAAGACTCCCGAAGGGTGTCTTTGGACAGCTCTAATGTAAAACAGTTCCCGAAGAAGTGCCTTAACTGTTCTAAATAAAACGCAAGACACGATGCCTGGGGGACTCTCGAAAGTAAGAGTGGACATCCAGTAAAAGTTAAATCTAATTTTTTAAAGACAAAGGCAAAAATAAAAAAACATTTTTCAAAACATACAGCAGTGGTCAGTTACCTGAGGGACAGCTTCCCAGAACTGTTTCTGGGGGCCATTTCACAGCAGTGGGGTCTCTAAGCCAGCAAGTGGGAGAAACGCCAAAGGAGAGAACTTAAGTAGCTCATCTGGATGAGCAGTGCCAGTGACAGGACGTCGAAATATTGGTGAAAATGCCATTGTCCTGTACCACCTAGGAGTTCCCCTCGTGTCCAGCTCTGAGCAGCTTAAGCAGAGCTCTGGCGTTCGAGACGTTTGCATTTAAATACCCAGTCACTGGACACCCATGCCAAGCATTCAGCTTCGAGATCTGGGTGGCCACCCCGACCAGTGACGAGCTGGTGGACTTTGTCCTCTAATTTCCTCCCCCTAACTATTTAGATTATACACTTGGGAGCATGTTTTCACTTTGGGGGAGTATCCCCTACAGAATAAGTGTCTTAAAAAAGGAAGATGGCGGTTCTAACGCTCATCCGGTGACCTGCCCAAGCTTTGATCCTTGTTCACAGTTGCCGGCCCCCCCCGCCCCGCCCCGCTCACATGTTCCTGTGCTGTAGGCTCAGAAATCAAAAGGAGGATAAGTGGGGCTTCGACGGATGGAGAAAATGTCCAGTGCTGTTTACAACCCAGCTGAGAGCAAATTAAGAATTCTAACCATGGGTTTCCACTTCCTGTTGCTAGATGTTGAGAACAAGAAAACAGACCGTGATGTAATAATAGTAATAATTAACACAGCTTCCATGTATTGGCTGTCTGCTATGTATCGAGCATATTACATTCATTTCTCACCTTCACAGTTCTGCAAGGAAAGTTATCCTTACTTTAGAGGGGAGAAAACTAAGGCCCAGAGAGGTTAAGTAACCTGCCTACCGTTGCGCAGCTAGGAAAGTGGCAACGCCGGGATTCCATCTATGATTGGCCTGACTTTTGCCACCACATCCAGCCATCTCCTTGAAAGTAGAGCGAGCGGCAAACCAGCCTGGGGGGCTTGCTTTTCCTGAGGGTTTGTGGCCGAGCTGCATCTCTTGTCTGGAAAAAGGGCAACGGCCACACTGACCAGCTGGAAGCATTCTTGGCCCCAGTGGGGTAGGGATGTAGGGGTACTGAGTAGCTGAGGGCCCTGCAGGCAAAAGCGTGCCCCTGCCGCTAGGCACACCCCCTTTGTCGCGACTAGCCTCAGACCCCGGCGACCGGCTTGGCAGACTCTCACCCAGGGAGACCTCCTCCCGTGGAGACGCTAGGTCATTATTTGCTTTGATCCTCATGATCTGGGCATTTCCATAAAAGGCACATGGAAAGATCTCTAATTTTAAAAAGTTTGGAGGGGCGCCCAGGTGGCTCAGTCGGTGGAGCGTCCCACCTCGGCTCAGGTCATGACCTCGCAGTTGGTGAGTTCGAGCCCCGCGTCGGGCTCTGTGCTCAGAGCCTGGAGCCTGCTTCGGATTCTGTGTCTCCCCCTCTCTCGCCCCCTCCCCCGCTCATGCTCGGTCTCTCTGTCAAAAATAAATAAACATTAAAAAAAATTTTTTTTTTTAAAGAGTTCGGAGATAGGTGACTTCACTGAGCAAGAAAAGAGAGACCTCAGCTCAAATTCTGTCAGCGGCCTTTCCGCGGAGCAAAGTTGTAAAGGCAACACGATGCCATTTGCAGCCCTGGGGGTTACAGGCCCAAGTCTCTCCTCACCTCACCTCAACTGGGCTGAGCGCTTGGAAGAACCTTCTCGGGGAGTAGCTGAAAGGGCCGTCCCCACACCAGCACAGCAAGGGGCCTCGCACGATGGAAAATCCCGTCCATCCTGTTTCTTCCTCCTGGGCGCTGTGCGTGGAACTGGGCACGGCCCGCATCTTGTCTGCTGGGTGGGGTCTTGTTTGTCACGCGTGGCAGCCACCGCCACCCAAGCAGCTTTTTTTTTTTTTTCCCTCATCTAACTCTAGTTTGCTGCTACCTTGGCCCCGAGGCCAACACAAACAGACCGGTGAGGAAACCGCGTAGAAGTACCTCGCGGCCTGAAGCCCGGGGTCTGAAGCCACTGCCGTCAGCTGTTCCCCTGAAATCACTGAATTCACTGGCTACTGTGGCATCAGGGACCCTCTTGTCCCCCGCACGCAGGACGGGCCCGGGACTTGCTCTGGGGCCCTCACCTCACAGGGCCGTGTGACTCACACCCAACAAGGCTCTTCCGAGAAGAACGCTTCGACCTTACAGAGTTTTCAGAACCCCCGAGGTGTCAGGCTGGGGCTGTGCCATGTTCCCTGTCAGGAACAGAAGCACCAGGGGCCTCCCCTGCCTTCTCAGCACTGTCGCCAAACGCTCTCCCGCACTGAGGTGACCCGTGACGTGGAGAAGGGACATGTGTTTGTGACCTGTCTTCCTGTGTCTTTAGGTTCAAATACAGCTGGTCCTGTTTCTGGTAAAAATGCCACGATACCAATCTCCTGAGACAGTCTATTTTGTCTTTCTTTTCACATGTGGGCCTCATAATGTGGCCTAGACAACACGGTGGCAGTGAAAGGATTCTAGAAAAGCCCCGCTTCCGCGAGCTAAAATGAGGTGAGGAGTAAGTTCTCTCGCTGGTCGGTTGTTACGATGGCGACTTAACAGGTCACATCCTCTCATCCGTCCCTACGTTCCGTCAGCGTCTCTAGCTTTTTGGCCTCAGATAGAGGGCTGCTTGCAAGTGAGGGTGGTGGGTGAGTCACTGAGCCACAATGGGTGTGTCCCAGGGCAGCCCCTGGCCGTGGGGGGGGGGAGGGGGGAGGGGGGCAGGGGCAGCCATGACAGAGCTGAGTGGAGACACGGGCCCGGAGGAAGGCCCCTTCTGTCCTTCATGGACATCGCTGCTCAGTCCCTGCCCCGTCCAGGTGCTTCAAGTCAGCCAGAGTCACAGCCGTGCCCCCTTCTGACCGAGAGAAATGTTTTTTGTTGGCAAAGGACAAAGGAAAGAGGCCAAGTGACGGAGCCAGCCAGGGGGTACGAGGAGAAGACGCAGAGACGAGACGAGCGTCGCAGTATGAAAAGTGGCCTGGCTGATGTGTTCTCATCCCATCCAGCGTCTGTTAAATACTCCCTCTCTTTTTCTCCGCACTGGGCCTGCCTCAGTCACTCCTCTGCCCCCTTCCTCCCTGTCCTTTCCCCTCCATGGACTGTCCTCTCTTCTGTTAGCACTAGAAACACCTGTATTGGGGGCAGGTGTGCATTGAAGCAGCTGGGTCTGAGCCGATGCCCAGCTCGGCTGCAAGGGAGCCGATCCAACCTGCTCAGCTTCGAAAGAGATGCCAGCTCCTCGCTACCCCTCCGCTGCGTACCCCCCCCCCCCCCCCCACACACACACACGCAAGAAGAGTTTCTGGAAGTTCCTTGCCATCCATCTGTCCGGCCTTACCTGTTCCTGGGAGCTGTGCCTGCAGCAGGGCCATGATGACAAGCGCCTTCCACATCACCTTGTCCTTTCCCCCAGGGTGGCACCAGGAGGCCGAGGCTGTGGCAGCCATGGCTGGGACCCAGAAGAGAGACGGTCTCTCTGCTTTGTGCTGCTGCCTCCTCAGGAAGTAGAGTACTGTGGGGCCTTTGAGAAGGCAGACACCCGCCAGCAAGGCCAAGAAACGCACTCCCCCTTTCGGTTCACGGGCAGGAAGCTCTGGAGGTTTGAGGGTTTGAGGGGTGTGTGTGTGTGTGTGTGTGTGTGTGTGTGCGTGTCTACATCTTGCTTTTTCTCTCATTTAACCGTTGCTTTACTCTCCTTTTCTCCTAATTTTTGTCTAATTTTTATCTAACTCCTCTCTTGATGGGTGAAGCCAGTCCCTAGGCGAACAGGAGTTCCCAATGCGTGCAAGGACATTTTCCTGCACTTACATATTTTATAGATGTTGGGGAGACGGCAGAGCTCTGGATCCAGGAGAAATGCAGAGACAGAATACCTGGGCTTTGGTGCCTATCTCTGCTACCCAGGTGCTGTGTGGCCTTCAGTAACTCACTCAGCGTCTCTAGACATCAGCATCCTTACCTGTAAAGCAAATGGCTGGAGTAGATCTGAGGCTACAGACCCAAACTTGGCCTTGAGTTGGAACCACATAGTATTTCAAATGCTTTTGCTGGTCGTCAACATTGAAACACTGGCATAATTTACAATAATAAAAAGATAAATACCTACAAACAAAGGTAATGAAAAGTGTTAGTTAGATCTATATGAAATACATTTTAAAACATTACTGAAGGATGCAGAAGGGACCTGGGTATATGGAAAAGTCTATGGTCTTTGATAATCTTAAGAAGACTACAATTCTTTGTAAACGAATCAACCCATTCCACGAAAAGTATCAACACACAAATAAAACTCCTACAATTCAACAATAAGAAAACATAACCCAATTAAAAATTGGCCAAAGATGGGGCGCCTGGGTGGCTCAGTCAGTTAAGCGGCTGACTTCAGCTCAGGCCATGATCTCGCGGTTCACGAATTCAAGCCCTGCGTTGGGCTCTGTGCTGACAGCTCAGAGCCTGGAGTCTGCTTCAGATTCTGAGTCTCCCTCTCTCTCTCTGTCCCTACCCCGCTCAAGCTCTGTCTCTCTCTGTCTAAAAAATAAATACACATTAAAAAAAAAATTGGCCAAAGATCAAAATAGATACTTCTCCAAAGAAGATAAGCACACAAGAAGGATCTCAACATCATTAGATAAATGCAAAGAAAAACTACAGTGACATTGGCCATGGAAACATTGTTCTCGAGATGTCTCCTCAGGCAAGGGAAGCGGGAACAAAATTGGGACTATTTTTAAAAACTATTGGGAATACACCAAAATAAAAACTTTTTGCACAGTGAAGGAAATTATCAACAAAATGACAGGGCAACCTATTGAATGGGAGAAGATATTTGCAAATGACATATGCAATAAGGGGTTAATGTCTAAAATACATGAAGAACTTAAACAACTCAACACCCAAAACTGATTAAAAATGGGCAAAAGACCTGAATAGACATTTTCCCAAAGAAGACATCCAGATGACCAAGTGACATGAAAAGATGCTCAACATCACTCATCATCAGGAAATTGCAAATTAAAACCACAATGAGGGGCGCCTGGGTGGCTCAGTCAGTTGAGCATCCGACTCTTTTTTTTTTTTTTAATTTTTTTTTAACGTTTTATTTATTTTTGAGACAGACAGATACAGAGCATGAACAGGGGAGGGGCAGAGAGACAGGGAGACAGAATCGGAAGCAGGCTCCAGGCTCTGAGCCATCAGCCCAGAGCCCGACGCGGGGCTCGAACCCACGAACCGCGAGATCGTGACCTGAGCCGAAGTTGGACGCTCAACCGACTGAGCCACCCAGGCGCCCCTGCAGCATTATATTTAAAATAGCCAGGATACAGAAGCAACCCAAGTATTCATCCACAAGTGAACAGATAAAGAAGATATGGTATACATAAACTACGGAATATTACTCAGCCACAGAAAAGAGTGACATCTTGCCGTTCGCAACAACATGGGTGGATGTAGAGGGTATAACGCTAAGTGAAAGAAGTCAACCAGAGAAAGACAAATACCATATGATTTCACTCGTATGCGGGAATTTAAGAAACAGAACAAATGAACAAAGAGAAAAAGAGACCAAAAAAAAAAAAAAAGAAACCAGACTCTTTGATACAGAGAACAAACTGGCGGTTGCCAGAGGGGAGGGGAATTGGGGGCTGGGTAAAAGAAAAGAAGAAGAGGAAGAAGAAAAACCCATAGTGAGATCCTACTTCACACCCCCTAGGGTGGCTAAAATAAAAAAGACAATTAGTGTTGGGGAGGGTATACAGAAATTGGGACCCTCAGGGACACCTGGATGGCTCAGTTAAGCAACAGACTTCGGCTCAGGTCATGATCTCTCAGCTTGTGAGTTCGAGCCCCGCGTCGGGCTCCGTGCTGACAGCTCAGAGCCTGGACCCTGCTCCGGATTCTGTGTCTCCCTCTCTCTGCTGCTCCCCCACTCATGCTCAGTCTCTCTCTCTCTCTCTCTCTCAAAAATAAATGAACATTAGAAAAAAATTAAAAAAAAAAAACAAAGAAATTGGAATCGCATACATTGCTGGGGAAAATGTAAAATGATAAAGCCTTTGTAGAAACTAATTTGGCAGTTCCCCAAAGAAGTCAAACAGAGTTGTCATAGGACACAAAAATTATGCCTCTAGGCATAGACCCAAGAGAATTGAAAACACATGTCCACACAGTATTATCATAATAGGCCCAAATTGGAAACAAGCCAACTAGGGAATGGTAAACAAATGTGGTATATCCCCCAAATGGAATGTGATTCAGGCATAAAAAGGGATGAAGAGGTAAGAGGTCTCTTTTTGGGGTGGCAGAAACTTCTAGAATTAGATGGTGGGATAGTGTACAACACAGTGAACATAGTAAAAGTCATTCAGATTACATTTTAAAATGGTAAGTGCGATGTTACGTGAATTATATCTCAATGCAAAAAAAAAAAGCGTTAAAACAAGCAATATTAATTCTGTGCTTGCAAGTAATTTCTCATGGTCTATGGTTTGCTTTTTCATTCTCTTAATGGTATTTTTTGATGGAAATGTTTTAATTCTGATGATACCCAATTTATCAATTTTTTTCTCTTTTTTTTTTTTTTTCCAACGTTTATTTATTTTTTGGGACAGAGAGAGACAGAGCATGAACGGGGGAGGGGCAGAGAGAGAGGGAGACACAGAATCGGAAACAGGCTCCAGGCTCCGAGCCATCAGCCCAGAGCCCGACGCGGGGCTCGAACTCCCGGACCGCAAGATCGTGACCTGGCTGAAGTCGGACGCTTAACCGACTGCGCCACCCAGGCGCCCCCAGTTTTTTTCTCTTATGGTTTGTGCTTATGTTCTATACCCAATTTGTTGGGAGCTTTTATCATGACAAGAGGTTGTGTTTTGTCAAAGGCTTTTTCTGCACCTATCAGGATAATCCTATGACCTTCATCCTTCATTCCATTCACGTGGTGTATCATGTTTATGGATTTGCATGTGTGAAGCCATCCTGGAGTCTCCAGGCTAAGTCCACGTGATTAGGGTGTACAATTCTTTTTTTTTTTTTTTTAATTTTTTTTAACGTTTATTCATTTTTGAGAGACAGAGAGCATGAGCGGGGAAGGGGCAGAGAGAGAGGGAGACACAGAATCTGAAGCAGGCTCCAGGCTCTGAGCTGTCAGCCCAGAGCCCAACGCCAGGTTCAAACTCATGAACCGCAAGATCATAACCTGAGCCGAAGTCAGACGTTTAACCAACTGAGCCACCCAGGCATCCTGAGAAAATTTTGATTCCTGACCCATTAGTAGTGCAGGATTATGTGGTTAAATTTCTACATATTTGTGAATTTTCCAGTTTTCTTCTTCTAATTGATTTCTGGTTTTATACCCTTGTGGTCAGAAAAGACACTTGGTATGATTTTGACCTTCTTAGGTTTGCTAAGATTTGTTTTGTGATCTATTGTATGATCTATCATGGAGAATGTTCCATGTGCACTTGAGAAGAATGTGTTCTCTGCTGCTGGATGGAATGTTCTGCATATGTGTGATAAGTTTATTTGGTCTAAAGTGTGGCTCCAGTCCAACGTTTCCTTATTGATTTTCTGTCTGGATGATCTGTCTGTTGTTGAAAGCAGGGTATTGAACTCTATTATTATTGTACTGTTGCCTAATTCTCCCATTAGATCCGTTAGTATCTACTTAATTACATTTAGGTGCTCTGACATTGGATGTGTATACATTTATGACTGTTATGTCCTCTTGAAGAAATGACCTCTTTATTATTAGGTAATGATCTTCTTTATCTTTGTTACATTTTTTTTGGATTAAAGTCTATTTTGTCAGATATAAGTGTAACTACCCCTGCTCTCTTTAGGTTTTGACTTGCCTGTTAGGAACATCTTTTTCTGTCCCTTCACTTTAGGCCCTTAAAACTGAAGTGAGTCTTGGGGCGCCTGGGTGGCGCAGTCGGTTAAGCGTCCGACTTCAGCCAGGTCACGATCTCGCGGTCCGTGAGTTCAAGCCCCGCGTCGGGCTCTGGGCTGATGGCTCAGAGCCTGGAGCCTGTTTCCGATTCTGTGTCTCCCTCTCTCTCTCTGCCCCTCCCCTGTTCATGCTCTGTCTCTCTCTGTCCCAAAAATAAATAAACGTTGAAAAAAAAAAAAAAACTGAAGTGAGTCTCTTACAGGCAGCATATAGTTAGGTCTTGCCTTTTTTTTTTTTTTTTTAATTCATCCAGTCATTCTCTGTTTTCTAATTGAAGAATTTAATTCATTTACATTTAGTAGAGTTAATTATTGATACTAACGTCGTCTTATTACTTGTTTTCTGGCTGGTTTGTAGTTCCCTTGATTCTTTCTCCCTCTCTTGCTTCCTTCCTTTGTGAACTGATGCTTTTCTATAGTGGTAAGCTTTGACTCCCTTCTCCTTATCTTTCGTGACTCTACTATAGATTTTTGCTTTGTATTTACAATGACACTTACTTAAAACATCTTTTATTTTATTTTATTTTTATTTTTTTAATTTTTTTTTAACATTTATTTATTTTTGAGA